CTCGTGCATCTCATTCCCTTCCTGCCTGATGACTAAACGCTCTTCTCTCCGCCTTAAAAACGGCTGGAAAAACACCTGATCCCTGTGCTTGGGTGACACAGCACAGCCAGCTCTGGGAGTGTGTGTCCTGGAGAGATCAAGCATTCCCAGGGGGTGCTCTGTGCCTCCCCACACCGCTTCAGATCGTTTGCTGATCCGTCTTCTGCTGGGAAGTGGTGCCAGTGAGGAGAGGTCTCCGCAGGCTCCTGCATCGCTGGAGAGCAGAGCACTGACGTGTCCTCCTTGGCCAACCCCGCCTTGGCAGCCCCGCTCCCAAATGCGAACCACATGTCGTGTTTGTGCTCACGAGCCGCTTCCCGCTGCCCAGAGCTCCGGGCCTGCCCTTGAGGCTCTGCTCTCCAGCTTTTAATAATTGTGAAAATAAAGGGAGGGTCTGTTTGTATTGTTTGCAGTAGGGAAGAACAGTGCAAGATTTCATCTGCTGCTGTTCGGATCCCTTGCTATTTTTGGTCTTTGACCTCTTCGGAGGAGGTTGCCAAAACTACAGGTTGTTTTCGTTTTTATGACGTGTTTCTGCCCTCCTACTCGTAAGTTACTCTTAGGTTGCTGATTAAATCTTTGAGAAAGTGCCATTTTTCCACATTTTTCCGTTGTATTTTTCAAAGGTAAATTTATGTTTCTGTATGTTTTTGAGCTAACATTCCATTTTGGAAAGGAGAGCTGTGCAGTTTGGCAGCATCTTCTGTACACCACTAAAAGGAGAAGGAAAATAACTTCTGAGTTCCTGGTTTATCTTTTGAAAAACTTTCTGGATTAGAAGAAGACTCAAGCTTGTTGGCTTGAAGTGAGGCTGCACAAACAGCCCAGCAGTATGTGCTGGGACAATGTTTAGTGTTAAGTTTGTGCAGATAGGTGCTTGCTTTTCATTCCTCCATCATTGGAAAGGGCTGCTTTCAGCAAAACAGTTTGCTTCTAGTTTGGCTTTGTGGTTGTTTCCACACTCCACCACTGAGAAACACATAACAAAGGCATCCGAAAATCCTGTCCTGCCTCTTTGGCATCAATTCCACTTCGTGCCTTCTGTTCTAAACATTGAGATTATTTCTTTTTCAGAGGAGCCTCGTAGGATGCCCTGGAGGTCAAAATATTTTAGGCTGTTTCAGAGAACTGTATTTATTCTGAGTTCCCAAGATGTGATGAGTTTTGAGCGTCCTTCGAGAAGCCTTTCTGGTAGTTGTGATATCCAGGAGAGTGTGCAGGGGTTGCAAATAACTGTGAAGTTAATTCATAGAACAGATCACGTGAGGGTAGTGCCAGAGGACTAGATAGAGTAACACAGAGGTTTCAGGGTTAATTTGTAAGATGTGGCTTTATCTTGCTCAGGGGGTGCAGGTGTGGATGCATCTGAAAGATGCAGCTGTTCCCAATGAGGAAAGGTGATGACCGAGGATGGGTGATGATCTCTGTTTCGATCACAAGTGACTGGCCATAGCCAGGCACCTTCAGCCAGGTACTCGTGTGCCACCCAAGTCATTGCGGCTTCCTGGCACCTTCACACCTGGATTTTGTCAGTGTTGAGATTGTAGATCCACACTGTGGGCCACTGTGAGCTGGAGAAAGTGAGGAACCTAAATGTAATTAACTGAGCAAAGGAGGTACCATGGGGAAATAAGAGCTTTTGGCCGGTGCCTTCTGTGATTTCTTCTGAGACTGAAGCAGTTCAGGAGCAAGTTGTTCATGCCCTAAGAGTCTTTGTGTCAGAGTTTGTCACTTTAGCAAGAGCAGTTCCCCTCACAACTGGCTGTTGTGCTCTATCCACAGTGTGCCGGGTTTCAAAGACACCGGCTTTGCCAAAGGATTCTTTGTGGCAGGAACAAAACAGATAACTCTGTTGTTGAACTTAAGGAGTGCTAAACTAAAAGTGCTTCAGTGCAGAGGACCATGTGCTTTGTAGGTGGCTGCAGTCCAACGCTTGGTTATCTTCTATTGTGTTTGGAAGGACCATTGTTTCCTATTTGTCTCATAAATTTAACACAGATCCTATTCCTGCCATTTAAACGTTCCCATCAAAATACAACAGTGACTTCCCCTTCTGAAAAGGAAGGGCTGGCAGCTACACCCTGAAGTTTGAGCATGAATTGTTTATATAACCTTCAATCACAATTTCATAATAGTCTGAAGACTTTCCTACTAGGGCAGACATTTTACCGAGTTTTTAGCAAAAACCTGGCTGTCATCAAATGCAATTTTGAGGCTTCTTAGTTGTTGCAGTGGAAATAGAATTGAAAACTGAACCCTCCAGCTTCCTGATGATAGAAATTGCACTTCTGTCTGAAAACATGAACAGCTTTTTCTGGTATTTCAGAATAGCTGTGCTTATGTCATTCGGGGTGAAAGCTTAAGAGCTGTCTTGGGCTAATTTTATATCTCAAAAAATACTATTAAATCTGAATGAACTTCTGGGTACTTGCAGAGTTCCCTCACCCTCCCTAGCAGTAAAAGCTCTGACATGAGTGTTGGAGAAACTGCTCATTGAATGATATTCTCTATCAAAGTCAGTAATATTTAAACAACTGCAGCTCGCTTTCCAAATGGATGACATTTGTCAGGAACATGTCTGTTTGAGTTTACTTGGCCTTTGGAGTAGAAAAAGCCTGAATATTTAGAGCTTAAAATTCAGGTCAGCTTGGAAAACTACATTTTTCCTACAAGAAGTTTACAGAGAGAACCTGTTTTTTTTAGTCACCATAGCTCTACAGGAAAGCTGTTTTACAAAAACTCCTGTCTCCACCCTCAAGCATGTGTGTTTGAAACTGTATTTAAATAGAAGCTTCCATTGTAATTCTTCAGTAAATTGGATTAAGTAGACGTTTTCCTTCTTAAAAATGTTTTATTTCTAAAATTGGTGTTATTAATTTGCATGGGAGTTTAACAGTTTTGTGTTTAAGCAGTGCAGCAAACAGCGTTTGGGAACAGTTGGCTTTGTGTAATAGTTCCAGTAAAATCCTGTTTCATTTGAGGGCATACCCAGAAAAGCCAGAAAGGAGTGAGCTCTGTGGGTAGGTTGTACACAGGGTAATGCCAGAAAACGTGTTCAACTTCTTGTCTTCAGAGGGGAAAGGAGTTTCCACAGGATGTCTGCTTTTTGTGGCAAAAATGGCTTGTAGATGTGCTCTGAAAGGTTGCTTTGATGTAGAAGATTAACCTGGGGACCTCATTGTCAGGATAGTACTGAGGCAAATCGCTTAGGGAGATTATTTGTGACTTGGGAATTAAGTTTTTATGTGTGCCTACTTAAGCTGTTTCTTAAGAATTTGCTCGTTTGTCACATGGTGTCAGGAGTATTTTGTGTGCACCAAACCAGGAGGAGGGAAGGCAAAGCCTGAGACTACAAACAAGGCCAAGGAATAAAAAAAAAAAAAACAAAACCAGAACAGAAGGCAGTTTTGTCATAGCAACTTTTCCTTTGTTTTTAGTCTCTCATGGGCCATTAAAATAATTACTACTAAAACAAGTAATGCATGGAAACTTGCACATTCCACCCCTAAAAGCCCAGCCTGAAGAATTTGCAGAAAAAATTGATGATAGGACAGCTGGGAAGGCATGAGAATACTTTCTTGCATTCTGGATCTTCCTGATTTTTACTTCATTTCTGTTTGGATTTTTTTTTCTAAAGGGTGAATTCATGCCTGTGGTAACTGGGATTGGCTGCTGGCCTAGTCCTTAAGGAAATACTGGTACCAGTGAGAAGTCATTGGATTGTTGACCCCTTAGAACCTGCTGTGATTCCCTCAGCATTTGAGTTTTGATCTTTTTTAAACACAGAAGAGGAGTCTAATTGAACCTGTGACTTTAACAGAAGTCCCTTGTGGCTGGCTCTGCTCAACATACCCCACCTTTGTCTTCCTTTAAAAAAATGGTTGTAGTTTGTGAACTCACTAAAACTGTGTATTGTTCATGGTAGCAAATATCTCTTTAAAATTTAAATGCCTCAATGTTTTTTCTGACTCTGACTTGATGGAAACCTTTACTGAAGTTACAGAATTGAATTTTCCTTTGTGTTACAGAAAGGAGCATTTCTTTTTTTCCTTTTTTTTTTTTTTTTTAGGGCATATTTTAGAAGTGAATCAATGGGTGAGAGGATCAAGAGAATATTGTTTAATGTTGGTTTTGCTTGGTAAAGTTTGCACTTGTGTGCATGGCTGAAATAGTTTGGGTTTCTAGGAGGGTTCAGTAGTGCTGGGGAAGAATTGCCTCTGAAGAGAAGATTTTTATCAGCTGCACTAACAGCCAGTGTTATGTGGTTTTATAGGAGGCTCAGAAAACACTGAGGTTCTTGGGAGAATTGATGAAAGAGGCAAAGATAATTGCAGTGAATTCCACTGATGTCACATAGCCTGTTTAGGTGGTCCATGATATGCTGACAGGTGTTTCTCTGCGTCACTGGGCACCTAAATACTTGCAAAATTATCTCATCTGGCCATTTCAGGCTGTTGTTCTGTGTAATTTTGGTCTTGTTCTCTGCCTCCCCTGTGCACGTCCCTCAGCACAGAAGTTCACTTAAGAACTCTCCTGCAGCTGTACTGATGCAGCTATTTGTGGGCTCTGCTTCCTAGAACAAAACTTATTCCTCTTCAGGTAGTGGTGATGACTTCATTTTGTTCCCAGTTGTGGAGAACATCACGTTACTTTATAAAAATAATAAGGCAAATTTAGCTAAGTGACTCTCCTAGGATTCACAGATAGGCTGTTTAATCTGTTAAGGGGATTATCTGGTGTAGTGCTTACAGACAAGAGAGACTGAACTCCTTAACTCAGGGAGCCCTTTCCTGTTCTCTGTTCCTGTGAATGAAGTTGTGGTGGGGAAGGACACGGGGGCAGTTGAATTTTGGCTTCGCTCTTCGCTTCTGCACGAGATCCTTTCTCATATGTAACTTTTAAAGCTAATCCTAATTAACAATGTTATAATTAAAACTCTCCTGGGGTTTTCTTTATTCCAGGTTTCTGGCGAGGTTGGGAACAGCCCTTGAGATGGCTGCAGTGGAGAAGGTCGAGGAGCAGCTCGCGAGTCTGCGCATAGCCAAGCGCTCTGCGCCGAGCGAGGAACCCGCTTACCTGCTGGACATCGACCTTTCCAGACCTGCCCAGTCTGAAAACGGTCGCTTTGTGGCAGTTTCCTGTTCCAATAAGTCCATTAGGGTGTACAACAGGGAAACATTACAGTTCCTGAGGGAGTACAGCAGCCATCCCGGGATACTCAGCGGGGTCAGATTTGCACACACGTGCGACAGCGCGGTGCTCTCAGCCTGCAGTGACGGGACAGTGAAATGCTGGGATGTTCGTTCAGCCACTCAGAAACCTGTGCAGGTATTCAGTGGATATCCTTCCAACGTTTTCATCAGTTTTGATATCAGCTGCAGTGATCTCATCGTTTGTGCTGGGACAGAAAAAGTTGAACAGGACACGTTTCTGGTGTTTTGGGATGCAAGAGGCGTTACAGACTGTGCCAGCTCAGCTAAGGAACCCTTGGGAGTCTATTCTGAAAGCCACAATGATGACATCACAAAAATCTGTTTTCATCCTGTTGAACCCAATTTGGTAGTTTCTGGGTCAACCGATGGGTTGGTCAACGTGTTCGACATCAACAAGGATAATGAAGATGATGCTCTGATATCAACTTGCAATTCAGATTCATCAGTGAGTTTTATTGGCTGGTCTGGGAAAGATTATAAACAGGTCTACTGCCTGACACACGATGAGGGATTCTGCTGGTGGGACACGGCTCAGCTGGACACCGAGGAACCAATAACCCTGCTGCGTGTCCTGGACGTCAGAGACTCGCTCTGCGCCGAGAACCAGAGCCTGCGTTACCTGGTGGGGGGCTGGTACCATGAAAAGGCAGAGAAACTCTTCCTTGTCGGGGGAACCTCCACAGGAAACATCCACCTGATCAGCTGTGGCACCGATGGGCTGGGCCTGGTGGGGACCCTCTGCGGGGGCCACTCCGCCACCGTGCGCTCCTTCTGCTGGGACCCGGCGGATGAGTCTCTGCTGACGGGTGGAGAGGATGCTCAGCTGTTGCTATGGAAACCCGGAGCTGTGGAAAGGTCCCTCACAAAGAAGGCATCTCTGAAGATTGCTTCTTCCGTGCACAGGAGAGTGAGAGTTCACGACAGCTCCCTGAAAAGCAGGAAAAAGTAAAATGCCGGAATTGGGAATCTCTGCTGTGTGGAGTTCTGGTGCTGAATCTCTCAGGCGATGCTTGGCTGTGCTTTGTTTGGAGGTATTCTGTGGAAAGAACTGTGGTGCTTGAATTCCCCCTGGGAATGTATTTCAGTCATCAGAAGAATGTCTCTTATTTTTTTAAAGTTGCTAATATTAATCAGAAAAGAGTAAACATCTGCACTTGAGTTCTCGAACAACAGATGTTAAATCATATTATATAAAACTATTTCTGTGGTTATTTAATGTCTCAGGCAATATTTAAAATGTGTAATATAGGCCTGTGGCTTGCAAAGTTTGTTACCTTCCCAGTGAAATTCACTGGCACACTTGAAAAGCTTTTGTATTTCGTGCTGTATTTTGCTTTCTTTACAGAAAACTTAACGAAATTGCTCAATTTAGTTAAAGATTTTATGTCACATCTTAATGCTTGAGGGAATTACTTATTGATGAAACAGAAAATAAGTAGTTTTGCACTGTCACATCACTGGTTTAGAACGAGCTCATAAAGAAGCAGTTGGTAGACTCATATTTTTCATAGCAGATATTAAAATATTCAAGTGAAGAGGAGCACGTGATTCCAAACAGCTAATTTGTACGTGTATGAGAACTGTTAAACTGGCATCATTTAGAGCATATTTCCTGCATGAAAATACCTAAGAATCTTGTAAGCAGCTTCATTCTGTCATGGTAAGTGCACCTGGAAGACTGGGGAGATCTTTGGTGGGTTAAAGACATTGATAGGTGTGATTATTCCAGTGGTGCTTAAACCCCAAATCCTGACTTTTCAAATTAGCTGGTATCACATGCCAAGTGGGAGTGTTGTCCTGGAGTTCAGAAATGGTTTCTGAGGTGCAGAGGATACCTCTGGTGTAGGGTTACAGCTGTGCTGAAGATGCCTTAATCAGCTGTGGAAGTGAAGCCTTTTCAACCACAAGTGTTGGGTTTCCACACAGTGTTTCACAAACTGTTAATGTCCTTTAGCCACAGCTGTGAATCCATTGTTGTTTTGGGTTTGCCTGTTGGTGATAATTGAGATGAGTCACTTGTTTTTGTTACTGCCCGTTATTTAAAAGTGCAGCTTCAATTTAAAAATCACATTTCTCTAAACCTTTTTTTTGTAAATTCAAGTTACCCCCAACATCCACATCTTTTCAAATGCCTTTCAGATTACGTGGTGCTATTTTGAGACCAGGTGGGCAGCAAGTCTCAGGGCTACAATGCACTTGGATCTTGTGCCCTCTCCAGATTTACTCTTGACAGGTTTATGTGGAACACACAGTTCTGTAACTGAGTGGACCAAAAGCTTCAGACCCCTCTGCTTCACTCTAATGCCCTCAGGGGCCTGAATTGGTTCGGTAACAAGTTGGGGGTAGGGAACTACAGGATGATTCTGAGACCTGTTTCATTGCAGGTGCAATGTACAAATTGCTTTTTAGATGGTTATCCACTCCCTCGGATCTTGACACGCTCAGGGGAGTAAAATCACTGGATCTGTTTGACACTTGGTTTCTTGAAGATAGTTTTGTGTTCACACAGAGAAGTGCACAGAGAGGGAGCCTGTGGTGGTCTCCACTTGCTTTCAGGTGTGTGTTGAGTGCAATGTGACGTGCTGTGCCAGCTGTCCGTGAACTAAGGCAGCAGAGATGGGAGGTCTGGTACTGAAGTTTGCAGTATGCAGCCCTAGCTGTTACCTTGTTTCTGAACTGGGTGGGTATCGATCTGTTCTGTATCAGTGACAGTTCAAGTCGTGATTTTCCCTTCGAAGCTGATTTCTCCGTGCACAACAGAAATAGCAACAGGAGGGGTAAAACGTGTGTGTGTATCTTAACATTGTGCAAGAGCACAGCAGCTGTCACGAGACTCAGGCTTGTGTTGCCTCTGAAAATACTCGATTTTGTTGTTTGTCTTCTGTGTTGATTCAATTTCAGGTTAATACCCATAAAATAAACATAGATGGAAACCCCATGTGAACAAGTGATCAGCATTGCTCGGTTCTGTAAGCTGCAAACACTGTTTTATAGACCACAGGGCACAGGCAGAATCCATATGTGAGCACATAAATAATAATAATAGACTCGAAGTTAGGCAGGTTAACTTGTCTGAATGTATTTAATCTCTTATTATTTTGATGTCTGTCAGTTGGCTTCAGCGTTGTTAAGAACCTTAAAATCATGGAATCGCAGGATGGTGCAGCACCGTGCACTTGGCTGCGTTGAGTGCCACAAGATTCCCATGGTCCCACATCTGGAGCTTGCCCAGGTCTCTCTGAGCGGCATCCCCATCTTCCAGGCGTGTCATCACTCAGCTTGGTGTCACCTGCAAAGTCGCTGAGGGTGCACTTGATGTCATTATTGAAGTTATTAACCGGTACTGGTCCCATTAGAGACTCCTGAGGGACCCCTGTGGACACTGAGCTGCTGACCAGTGCTCTCTGCATGTGACAATCCACCCAATTCCCCATCCGTTGAACAGTCCAGCCATCAAATCCGTATCTCTCCGGTTCAGAGAAGGTTGATGTGGGGGACTGTGTCAAAGGCCTTGCAGGACTCCAGACCTGACCTTTATAAAACTTACGTAATTGAAACTATGTGCAAGTAGCATTCGGAAATCATCACTGTGTGAACTGTTTAACCCCAGGGGAAGCTTTAATTTCCGGAAGCAGGATCAGATTTTTTTTCCAGTTAATGAGAAGCAAAAATCCAGATAGACTACTGAAATGCAGAAAACAGTGTCCATCTTGATTCAGAGCTGATAGTAAACCCGTTGTACGATATATCTGAGCAGCAGGAGATTATCCTGCTGTGAACACGTGAAAATAAACTTACTTGCATTTGGCACGTTATTAAATTTACTCTTTGTTTCTTTTTCTTTTCTTTGTAATTAAAATCCAGTACTTGCACACTCACAGTTGCTGTTGTTCAGGTAAATGATGTATCAGGACAACATTCCGTTGTTGGTGGGTAACTTTAGGAATTAACTTGAGCGGAGGATTCTACCCACACATTGGGGTTGCAGTGGAAATTATCTGACAGACCTAAAGGTGTGAATTCATTTCTAGGTGAAATTTGTTTAGCCAGTTAAAAGCTATTTTGTGGACGGATTGTATATGGCACGTGTCCTGTGTATTCAAACTGTGCTGCTGCATTAAAATATTCCTTAGCAAAGATGCTGATACAGTAAAACATCTTAAAGGCATGAAGTGTGAGCTCTGTGCTGTGTTCAGAATGACAGCTTTGTCTTGGCTGCTGCCCTGGTGGGGCTCTGTAGGTCAGGGTGTTGTATGAAGCGACGCATTTTGCCATGGGAAGCGCTGACTCAGCACCTGCACACTCCTGTCTTGTGTTTTACAGGCTTACAGACTGGTTGGGGTTGGAAGGGACCTCTGGAGATCATCTGGGCCGACCCCCTGCTCGAGCAGGGTTTGAAGGAGACTCCACAGCCTCTCTGGGCAGTGTGTGCTGGTGCTTTGCCACTCTCACAGTAAAGAAGTTTTTCCTCGTGTTCAGATGGAACTTGCTGTGTGTTGGTTTCTGCCTGTCGCCTCTTGTCCTGTCACTGAAAAGAGCTTCTTGACACGTATCCTGAAAGATCTGTGTTTTGGGGTGAGCCACCCTTCTGTCAGGATGGAGCCCAGCCATGGGGGTTGGGCATGGACACAGTTAATTGCAGTGTCAGTTGATCAGCAAAGCTTTTGTACTCCTGAAAGAACTGACCCTTTTGCCTACCTCAAAAAGCTCATCTGCATTTGTCATGGTTAATTTGGAATTACTTCTCTCCACCCCTTCAAAATGGTCTTGTTATTTGGTTTCTTGTATTTTTTTGGGGGGAGTGCTGATAGTAGTGAGTTGTGTCATGGTACCTGATTTTCTGGAGGGGGATGAGTCCTTTCCCTTTTATCTGGGAGCTCTCCTGTCCTGTGCATGGGCTGCTGGACTCTGCACTTCTTATCACACCAAATGGAGGGTGGGAAGCAGAGAGAGGGAAGAAAAAAGGGAGGTTGGCTCCTGCTGACCCTCTGACAGGACATCTGTCCAGGGAAGCTCCTCAACGAGGAGTTGGACCCTCTACCTTTTGAAATACAGCTAAGGGCTTATTCTTGAGCTTGTTGTAAGCAGGATAGGACCTCAAATAAATTATGCAAGACATAAGCACCCTTCAAGCATAAAAGCCAGTTCCTGTTTGTCTGTGAGATGAACAATTTGGCAGTGAAGCGTGTAAGAGGCAGAAGGTGTTCGCTTGCAGGGGCCGGGTGTTCTTAACTTCTGTGAGCAGTGAGGAGAGTCGCTGGTTGAGCCAGTGCTGCTCCCTCTGCCCTGCAGGAACTGATGGGTTTGGGGATTCCGAGTGCCATGAAAAAAGGGAAGGCAGGAGTGAGTGTGGAGATGACAGCTAAAGGTAGCAGTTCAGTCTGTGAATTGCCGCTGTTGGGTGTTTATACACCACTCTGTTCCTTGGTTCCTTGTCAGAGTTATTTGCAGATAACCTGTCAACCGATTCTGAGGATCTCTGATAACTTCTTGGATTCTGTTTCCTTTTTTCTATACCATTTTGTAACCTGGCACAGGTTGTTGGCTGATGGCCTCAGCTTGCTGTCAGGGTGTTCTGTCCTGCTGGGATTTCAACACATGTTGTTTCTTCCAGTCTTCCTCCTCATGCCTTTAGATACTTTGAAATCTGTATTTTGAAAGTTTTCTACTTTTCTGGAAATAGACTGCTGGAAAATACTATTCTATATACTCCTCCTGCAATCTTGGCACTAGTATCTTTATGGGAATAGATTACATTTTTTATATCAATTTTGGTCTTATTCTCTCATGCTCTGACTAAAGATTTGATGGTGCTCCAATCCCATAAAGGTGGTACTTGAGCAGCCTGTTGCCACAGGAACTCAGAACTGGCAGTGAGAAATGCTGGGAGGAGCTCAGGAGAGTTCTCAGGGCTAATTTAAAATGATCATTTTGAGAAATCTACTAAAAGTGACGAAACAAGAAGGTCCAGGGAACTCAAAATACGCAGTAGATTACCAAAGGACTGTTGCCTCCCAGGTAATACATTTGATATTACTGCTTTGGTGATGATACTGGGCTAAAGCTGAAGAACAAACTCAGACCCAGAGTCCACTTTTCTGGATGTTTTTAATAGAGGAATTTGGGATTACTGATAGAGTTGAGTACCTGTGAGTACAATGCATGCCAATTCTCACTACTTCAGGTCCAGATTAAAAACTACTGAATACACACACAGCAGGTCAAATAGCTGCAAGTGACTCCCTTAACTTTTACTGGGACTTGTGGAGATGAATGTCCATAAACCCAGCCCAGTGGTTCTGATTTATGATTTCTGATTTATGTCTTTGATTTCAGCACTGTGGGTACATGAAGAATGAAGACAGAAAGGTAAACAGAACTGATTAAGTGTTTGTAACACTGCCTTAAACTGTAATTATTGCTGCCAAAAACGGTTCCCTGCTGCTGGATGTAAAGTTTGCATTCAGAGTTTTATGTTTCTTGTCTTAGATTAATTTCTTTAAGTGCTTTTATTTCTGCTTATCACATCAGACACGAGGGAGGAAGGAGTGCAGACCCTGGTCTGGATGTTCTGGGTCTCTCAGTGCTCTGGCAGCTACTGCCCAGCTGCTCTTGCCTCTGAAAGATGTTCCCATGTTTGAATTGAATTGTGTTTGAACAATTTAGGATGTTTTTTGGGTATCTCCCAGCGCTGCAGAGCTTCAGTACTCACCAGAGCACTGTAGAGGGTAATAGTTGGTATGTGAGCTCATCACCATGTCTTGGAAAAATTGGGGCTGATACACTTTGCTGGTGGGAACCCCCAAACATTCACTGATGGAGATCTCAAATGTTGCTTTAACAGACTTTTAACTCAGCCATCTAGAGAATGCAGAGTGCAGTGTTATCTAACAGTTATTTGGGGATAATTTGAAGGAGAAAGGCTCAAGGCTTCTCTGTAACAATGATCTTGGTGAACTGTCTCAATTTAGGACTGATGCACGAGGCATCAGGAGAAATAGGGGGATGGATGTTCCTTGGATCAAGTAAGATGGTGTTTGAGCTTCACACCCCAAAAATCAAAGTCTAGCTGAAGCCAGTAATGGACAAACTAATGTTTATTAGCAAAAAATCAGCATTTATAAAGCAATCTTGTTCTGCTGAATGAAGACACGTAGTGCTGTGTGGGTCAGAAGGGATCCCTCCAGCCAGCAGGCTGGGAACATGGCAGGAATAAAGAGCTTGTGTAGCCTTCTAGGTGTGTATGGTGTTAGAGCCACAAGTAGATCAAATGATTGTTGGAATGAATTCTTATATTTGGGTTGAATTTGTTGAGTCCTAACTGTTGCAAATAGGAGAAAGTATGAAGGCAATTCAGGAATGTAAGAACAGGAGCACACAGGCATCCCACCACATGCCAAGGAATGAATAGTGGCGTTTTGCTAAAACATCTGGGCTAAAATAGGCCCAAATCCTTATTTATTTTTAATAGTGTTATTATTTTAACATTTCTGTTGTGGTTTACTGCCAGGATGCCTAGACAGTGAGGGAGCTGTAACTTGGTCGTTCTGAGCTAACTCAGTGCTATGTGCAAGGGGTGAGAGCTGCTCTTCCCTTTATGTGCCCACCTGCCATCCAGGACACTCCTGTTTCCCAGTTTTCACCTTACTTTTGCTGCAGATGTTCTGAGTCTGCAGGTTTATTGTATTTCATAGAAGAATTTGCTCCCATTTAATTTTTAAACTTTGAATGCCCCAAGACTGCGTGTAAATGAGACATAGCTGAAGTATTTGTGGTTTCTTACAAGGATGTGTATTAGACCCATTTGCTGATTTATTATTAGACAGATTTCCTAGATTTATTAACATGTCAAAGTTAGCAAATGGAGAACTATCTATTTATGCATTAATATGACAGTCTTAACTGTCCTGTCAATAGTCTTTAAATACAACAAAAACAAGGCCTGGGACTTGATTATAGTTGACAATTTCTGTAGGTGTGGGTGTTTTTAGAGTTTTGTTGATGAAACAATTCCGAAAAGCTCCATAGTATCTTGTAAATGAAGGGCCAGCGTTTTCCAGATGGCTCTATAAATAAATTTGGTAGATGCAGAAATAAGTAAAGGTATTTCAAGAGCTCCAGGCGTGTTTTTGCACATAATGTTATGGTGAGCTAACAGAGGAAATGAACTTCCTTTTGTTTGCAAAATATAAAACCCCTCAAGTTCTTAACGTTTTTTCCACACGCCGGGCGAGTGAAGCTCCTGTGCAGCTTTTTCTTGTCGATCCCAGGTTTCCACGTGCACCACAGTCAGGAACCTCGGAGAGGAAAGGCCACAGTGAGCCCTGCACAGCTCAAGTGGACACAAACCAGAGCATTCTGGGGGGTCAGAAGCCAAGGTATAGGAGATTAAAGCAATGTGTGGCTGGCCTGGAGCAGGCAGTGCAGAGAGCAGCTACTGCTGTGTTTGTGTTGCCTTTCCATTCTTTTTTCTATTTTTTTGTTAAAGATGTTTTAACTTACCAAGATGGCCAGTGGCATCCTGGCCTGTATCAGCAATAGTGTGGCCAGCAGGAGCAGGGCAGTGACTGCCCCCTGTGTGCTGGGCACTGGTGAGGCCACACCTCAAATCCTGGGTTTGGTTTTGGGCCCCTCACAACAAGAAGGACATTGAGGGGCTGGAGCGAGTCCAGAGAAGGGCAGCAGAGCTGGGGAAGGGTCTGGAGCACAAATCTGATGAGGAGCAGCTGAGGGAGCTGGGGGGGGGCTGAGACTGGAGAAAAGGAGGCCTCATCACTCTCCACAACTCCCTGAAAGGAGGTTGTAGCCAGGTGGGGGTCGGTCTCTTCTCCCAGGTAACAAGAGACAGGGTGAGAGAAATGGCCTCAAGTTGCGCCAGTGGAGGTTTAGACTGGATATTTGGGAAAATGTCTTCATGGAAAGGGTTCTCAGGCATTGGAACAGACTGCCCAGGGCAGTGGTGGAGTCACCATCCCTGGAGGGATTTAAAAGATGTGTAGATGTGGCACTTGGGGACATGGTATAATTGTGGCTTGGCAGTGCTGGGTTAATGGTTGAACTCAATGAACTTAGAGGTCTCTTCCAACCTTAATGATTCTAGGATTCCATGATTCTCTAATATCACTAAGAACCTCCTGTATTTGTTGCCTGTCTTGCTCTTCTTGATCTCAGACAATTCCTGTTCTTTAGGCAGAGGTGAACTTGGCAGTTACCGGGATAACTTCCAGCTCTGGCTCACCACACAAGCACTGGGATAGCACCAAAGGAACAGGAAGCATACTATTTTAAAATATTTTTAATCCCCAAACAGCAAGAATGTTACCAAGTGCTCTAAAAGCACTGTCTTGCTTGCTGATATTTTGGGGCTTCATATGCAGCACACTGAAAGAAGAGTGGGAAGATCAGAGCATTGTGCCCACCTGCTCTGTTACCTGTCAGAATGTGCAGAGGGATCAGGTGTGTGTGAACCCCTGCTGAAATGGTGGCCTGAGAGGCACTTTGTGTAACAGAACACATGGAGGAGCTTGGAATCACTTACAAAATGCAATCAGCTCTCAAAAGGGTTTTAATATGGTTGATATTAAAGCAACTGTGTAAGTGGAATAGTCTAAATATATACTAGGAATAATAAACTATTGCTAATCTTCTGGAAGAAAATGGTGCTCTGTCAGTCAAAGATTATTTTTCCCAGATTTTGAGAGAGGATTTAATCTGCTTCTCTACCCCCCCCGCCATTATCTCCAGTATAACTAAAATAAACCAGCTCATTTTTAAAGGTATGTTACATAGTTATTCTCAAGGAGTGAAGTTAAAACCTCTAAACTTTAGAACCCAAGTGGAATCTAGGTTTCTAAAGGCACAGATTTTTTAATATAAATAAAATACGCATTTTGTTCCATCCATTATTCTACATTTAATGAGAAGAATGGTCTTGAAACCCATTAATATATATTAGCTTTTGGAGAATAGTACAAAACAGCATCTCCCTTTATCTTCTCCGAGTGCCACTAACTTACCTGCTGGTGGTGTTTGTTGTGGCTGGAGGGACCAGCAGAGCCCAAGGTTTTCCTGCAGGGATGAAGAGCTCTGTGCATGCTGTACGTGGTGTTCTATGGATAAACAGTGGATGGTCCTGCCAGAGAGCTTGTCCTTTAAGTGTATCAAACAGGGAGTGGGTGTTGTATTTTTCATTTTACAGGGAGGGAAAGTGAGGCAAAAAGCTCCCCAGCTGCACATAAGAAATCTGTGCCAGAACTGATCAGTCAGGAACTCCTGCTTCGCTCCCATTCCTCTGCTCATCGAGGCTGCTGCTGCTGCTTTATAATGTTTATAAAGTTCATAATGTGACCAGCAGAAGTAATTTATTGTGTTAGTTTAAAGCTTTGAAGCCTCTGTTGAGGTCTAGAACCCCAGAGGACAGAGAGAACAGGAACAGAATAGGAATAAACCACACAAGGAAGGGGAAAGGAGATGAGCACGCCAGCAAGGCAAGTCACGGTCAACAACCCCTCACCTTTCCCCAGCCCCCTCCCGATTTTTGTCAAGCTTTTGTGGACCAGGTGGCAGGCAGGGGAATGTGCACCTGGCTTTAAAGAGTCCTTGAAAGAGAATAAAGTCATGGTTTGGTGGCTTCCTGAGAGCCCCTGGGGAGAGCGAGGGGGGGGCAGCAGGGGAGAGAGCAGGAAAACGTTCATTTGGAAGTCAGACAAAGAGGTGATAGAAACTCCTCCTAGATGTGTATCAGGCAGGAGTGGGGCAGGTGTAACCTGTGTGGCCTGTCCGGTGCTCCACCAGCGCTAAGCTGCAAACTCCAGGGCTTCTGTAGGGATGGCAAGGGGACAGTAAGGCCCCAGAGTCCTGTTTTCCTGCTGTTTCAGGAAGCCTCAGAGAGCTCGTGTGGCCCCGAAATGTGCTGGAGATGCAGCACGCATCTCCTGGGTGACACATAATAATGAGCCTTCCAAGCACCCAGTGGGAAAACGCCTGGAGGGAGGAGGAAAAGTCGGGATAACTGTGACCACGACGAGGCAGAGGGGCAGGGGCACAGCACCGCCAGCGTCGAAGGATGTTTGGGAACCGGGCTGGGGTGTCCCCCGCGGTATTTTGTGATGGTGCCCTGCAATGCGATCTCTGTTTACATTTTAATAGATCCATTTAGCAAACGCAGCGGTGGGATTCCTGCCAGCTCCATTCGGCTGACGTCGTTTTCCTTGCTAATGAGCAGGAGGGGAAGGCAGGCACAGGCAAAGGAACTGCTTGTGCCAGTCCGGCAGGAGCCGGGCCCGGGGATGAGGGGAGCGGGGCTGTAGTCGGTGCTTTAGCTCAGTGTCTCTGCCCCGAGCAAGGAGTTTTACCAAGCTCTGCCCTCACCCCCCTTCGTGCTTTGCACCTCTAAGATCGTGTTGTGCTCCTGGAGCACAAACAGTCCCAGGGGCTGGGCCCTGCCTGCCCTCCCCTCGCCCGGTGCTCACCTCTGAGCCCTCGGCACAAATGTCATGAGGAGTACCTTTTCCACCCTTTAAAGACTCGTCTGGGGAACCCCCGAGTGGGACCTGCTTGATTTAAACTCGGGGCCGCTCGGTGGACACAGTGCCTGTGTGACTGCGGAAGGTGGCAGAAAAACACCTGATCACAGAGCGGGGCTCAACTGCAAGGGGGCCAAGGTTGAGCCCAGGAGGCGGAAACCTGTTCAGAGGGAGTGGTAGAGAGAAAAGTCCAGGCTGTGATCCTGTGTAGCCCCAAGATTAAAGCTGAATGGAGGCTTTTTACCATGGGTGATGCTAAAGCAATCTTGTGTTTTCATTTGTTCTGTTCCTCAAAGAGCCAGAGGGGAGAGAATTAACAGCGAGGCTGAGGCATGGATGTGGAAGAGATGGTGTGAGTTGAGACCAAGGAGCACAGAGAGGCTGTTGCCTTCTGTCCTCTGTTGTAGTGACGGTGTTCTGGTGTGGATTTTATGAATTGCAGGAGCTCTTAATACCACACACACTTGGGATGCAGCGTACAGCCCATCTGTGCTTGGTTGCCACTGTACATTATGTAAGAAGATAATGATAAGACAAGTCTGTTTCATTTCACTTCAGTTTGCTAAACCCATGGATCTCTCCTGCGGGTCTGGTTGGTTACCAGCAGTTTAGCAGTGTCGTGTTTAATGCCCTAAGGGCACTGGCAATCCCTTCAAAATCATCACTCTTGGAAGGCAGGACAGGTCTTAAATGGCTGTGAGCATTCACAGCCTCCATCCTGGGAAGGCTGGAGATGTTTTGTGCACTGAGTTGGGTCTGGCTGGGATGGAGTTCATTATCCCCACAGCAGCCCTGCCTGAGCTGTGCTGTGCATTGGTGTAGCTGGAAAGGTGTTGATAACACACCAGTGTTTTGGCTGCAGCTGTGCAGTGCTCCACAGCACGGAGCTGCCTCTCCAACATTCCCCCCTCACCAGCAGGCTGGGGGGGTGGGCAAGAAGCTGGGAGGGGACACAGCCAGGACAGCTGACCCCAACTCACCAAAGGGATGTTTCAAACCATACAGCGCCTGCTGAGCAATAAAAGCTGAGGGAAAGGGAGGAGGGAGGCCATTCCTTCCTTCCTTACAATGTTTGCCTTCCAGACCAACCACTACACACTGAAGAACAACTTCCCAGGAAGTGGCTGGACTTTCCTTGCTGATGGGAAGTAGAGGATAAATGCTTTGTTTTCCTTTGCTTCTGTGCATGGCCCTTGCTTTGGCTTTGTTTAACTGCTTTTATCTTGACCCATGAGGATTTTCCATCTTATTTTCTCCCCCTGCCCTTGTCCTGCTGGGGAGGGGAGTCACAGAGTGGCTTGGTAGGTACCTGGCTTCCAGCCAGGGTCAACCCACCACAAGTACACATTTAGGTTTCCCCCCCCAGCCATGGAAAACATGGAAAACAAACCCTAAAAACCTGCTTAAAAATCTCCATTGGGAAGCAAAGTCATATATTGCCTCTGTCACCCTGGTATACTCAATAACATGTGGGAGAAAACCTCCCCCCACAACAGCAGACCCCCCTCTTGGGCTGCTCCCAGGTGAGAAAGGGCAGCTGTTGCCCTTTCAGAAAATTGTACAAATCCCCTGGTGCAACACCATCTCTGAATGCTTTGAGGTATTTACACTGTATTTGTATATTTGTAATAAAATTATCCTCTGGGGTGTTTGGGGTGTACCAGCGCAATTCCAAGGCTTTCAGTCCCCTGCATCAGTGCCAGTATTGCACAGGGACACCTTGCTGGGGCAACTGGTAGGAGTCTCAGCTCTGGGAGAAGGTGGTGGTGGTGTTACTGTACCACCTGTACCATGAACCTGCTTCAGGCTGTGCTCACTGGAAAGGATTCTCTTAGTCCTGGGCTGCTGGAAATGAAATAATGGGGATTTCCAGAAATAAAACAGGGTTGGTCAAGCTGGCAGCTCTCACAGGGATGCACAAATGCTTTTGACTCAAAAGCCATCCCATCACTAGCTTATTGTGACAGTTATACTCTCATTTTGAGGGCAGTTTTGTTGTTCTATGAATAAAGTAGTGGTAGCAGTGGCTGGATTTTACACTTGTAGGCCATGTAAAAGCAGCTTACCCACTGTCATTTTCATCTGGGACTAAGAATTTCCCAATTTCTTCCCCATCTAGCCTGGCTTAGATCTAGACTTATCTCCATAAGACAACATTTTCATAAATTTCAACATTGTCCAAATGTTTGGAGTA